CCAGCCATCTAACATAGAATCGTCCGCTCTTACTTTGTGTCGAAATAAACTCTTATCATCTATCCCATTCTTAGGCACAGGGAAGGCCCAGCTTGTCTCGGTAGCTTTCAGCTGCCCGTGCTGCCGTTGCCAGTAGCGCCACAAAACTCGTAAAATACGAAGTGGCGCTGTTGCCGATATTTAGTGCATGATCAATCACTTCTGACTTACAGGAGCTACACTGGTGCTTTTATCTCCCCATAGCGTAACCACAACACTGGTGCTTCCTTGATCGCGTGTAATGTGGGGATGACCCCAGGACGTTATGAGACGGTGTGGCGAGTAAAGGGGTTAGCAGCTGTTTCAGGCAAGTGCTGATGCGCCCTTCAAGCTTGCGCAGTGTTCTATATATCCGAAGGAGTGTAAAAATACCGTTCGATATAAACGTGTGAATAGTTTTGCAAAGAAATTTCAAGGGGGTAACTTGCCAGTTCGATATACTCGTAAATTCGATATATGTGGGTTTGAAATAACCGCGTCCAGCTGTATAGGTTTTTCTTCTTTTAACTTCTATTGTTCACTTTCAGTGGTGGCTGCCAAGTCCAAATAGACAGTCTGTGACTGTATAGCAATACTCAAATGTCATGGATCTTTATCATAAGCAGATTGCATGAAAAATAAGGGGGATGGTAGGTTTCTCAGAAAAAAGGTACAATAAAACCTCATTATTTGGAACTATGACATTTAAAAGATCTTGCTTAATTCGAAGTATTTTTGCGATCCAGTATTTGTCTACAAAAGTATGAGCAAATAACTTGAAGCGGTGGTCAGCACTAGTCCGGTTAATTAGAAAACTTTGGCTGCTGTGTGCCAATTCCCGATCCTGATTTCGCCACAAATCCACAGAAAAGGATGGCCTTTAAGAGCCACAGGACAATGCAACCTAGCAATACTAATGAATGGCAGCTGAAGCACCCCGGCCTCGCTGAAGCCAGCATGAAAAATTTATATAAAGAACAGTCCTTGATAGACTGAAATGTATGCCTGCGAAAAATAAGACATGCCTCTCGCAACGTCGGGGTGTCGCAATTCACCCCATCTTTCTGGGAATACAAGTTATTTGTCTAGCGGAACTTCCGATGTATGCGAACCTCCGAGTGCCGTAATTTGCGTACTTGCACTGCTGGCCTCTTGCCTGCAACACCTGCTCCGAAAACTGTTCGAAAGCTTCAATGATTGTTTTTGAGGCAAAGCACGTTGCAAATTTCGTCACTGTGTCCATCCCTAAATACTTAATTTTTTCAGAAAGCATGCGCAAATATTCGCATCATGTGCTGACGGAGTGAGGAGCAGATGACATGCTGTGCACGTGCCAATACTGTGTTGCTGTGATGTCTTGTTTTTTTTTTTTTGCAGGCATGCATTTCAGCAAATCACCGCTGTTTTTTTTTCAGCGAAATCCCTGGAACACGGAGAATGTGTTGCCATCATTTCCAGTACAGTCATGCAGCACTGTTGCCCTCAGCTGCCTTGAGGTTTTTTTCTTTTTTTGAGGCGGTGCCCTGTGCGCTTGTTTACATTTATGAAATAGCATTGTTTGATGCTGGCAGACATGCTGCTGCTGGTTTGCTTCTCGGTTTGAGCAATAGTGAGAACGCTAGTTCAGCGAGCAGTAGCAGCAGCAAGGATGACAAGCTGTACGTGCTTTTCCGCCATGTGCACGGCCAAAGTCTGCCCCGCCGCAGTGGTCTAGTGGCCAAGGCACTGGGCTGCTGACCCGCTCGTCGCGATACCGAATCCCGGCTGCGGCAGCTACATTTCCGATAGACAGAAATGCTGTAGGCCCGTGTGCTCAAATCGGGTGCACGTCAAAGAACTCCGGGTGGTCAAAATTTCCGGAGCCGTCCACTACGGCGTCTCTCGTAATCGCATGGTAGTTTTGGGATGTTAAACCCCACATATCAATCACTGCTGAAGTCTGGGCATTATAGCCGAACATAATCGGCTATGTCGACGAAGTTTCCGGTACAGGTTCAGTGACTGTGCGAACAACTTCCGGCTTGACCTCAGGCAGGGCATTCACGTGTTCCACTTGCAGATCTGGCTTGGCACAATCAGAGTGCTCTCTCCAGGATTTCAGGCGGCTGCTCCAGATCTACCAGTGGAATTCGCAATTAGATGCACCTGCAGTTACTTGCTGTCCACAAAGAAGCTTCATAATGTGCGTCAGAGCGAGCATTGTGAAATACCGTACTTACATTTCTGAGTGCTAGTCCGTAAGAAAACCTATACAACGTTAAACTTGAAAGAAAAATTAATGTAGACCCACTAAAATGTCCCACATGACTGTAGGAAAAACTTTATTCTTCGAAGCCCTCAATGGTCGAAGCCCTCAATCTTCCAACACACTTTGAAATAGCTCAGCGAGCATTGTGACAGCAACACAGGGACCTCTTCTGCTTAGTCTTCAAAATCGCTGCTGTTGTCATTGAGGTCAGGGGTTGAGGATGCTAGCAGGCCTGCCTTGCGGAACCCTGCAATTACGGTGGCTTGCGACAGCGCATTAGGCTTCGCGCACCCACTGCGAGACTTCGCAAAACCAAGCATGCCTCATGCATCCGGTTGCAGTGCAGCTGTGCTCGCTGTCGGACATACACGATTCCCACAGGCGCCACAGAATAGCCTTGAAACTGCAGTTTGCTGAGATGTCCAGTGGCTGGAGCATATTTGTCATCCCGCCTGGGATTAACAGCAGTGGTGCAGTTTTTTGCTTGATGAGTTTCAAAGTCGGCTTTTTATACGTGCCCGCATACTGCCCAAGACTAGGAGCCCTTTCTTCTTATGAAAGAAACAGAGTCGCTTAGAAAAGCATTTCTCGAGTCGCCCATCATTCTTTCGTCCATCCAGCCTTTCGCGTTAGTTTCTATGACTCCGCCAGATGGGAAGGCCTCTTTCGGTATTGTCTTCCGCTTAAAGATAAGCATTGGTGGTACTTGTAGCCCGTAGGCGCAACACGCGAGCACAATCGTCAAGTAAGCTTTTTCATGGCCTTGATGATGACAGCCTTGTCATCTTTCGGTTCCACACTCCTCTTCATTGGGATGTCAAATGCGAGTGGCACCTCGTCCAGATTTATTATATGGCTGTCGCCTATGTCGTCTTCAATGGCGTTTCTTGCGAAAGCCTGGAACCTTTCAAGCTTGTCTTAGACTGCTGGCAGATTTTTGCACATGCTTGTGTGGGTCCTCGTTGCCAGCGCATTGCGGCGGATAAATCTGGAGCACCAACAAAATCAACTGCGCCCATCTTCTTAACTTGGCGCCTGCGCTTTGAGACGCAGCTGCACTGTCGGCGTTGCCCTGCCTTGGGTATGCTGCTCCACCATCCATGTGTGCAGACGTCCCTCAAGGATTGGCCATCGTGGCATCTTGCCACGGTCAGCTTTTGTTGTCGCTCCTCATGGCTTGCCGGTTGACTGTCGCCATGATCTGATCTTTTCAGTTACGTCGAAATGAAGGCCCGCTGCCCAGTTCTCGTACTCCTCAGTATACTTCACAGCGGTAAGCTTAAACTTTGCCGTGTAGCTTTTACACGTAGCCGGCATACTGCAGGTGAAGATAACAAAAGCGCGGACCAACAGAACGGGTAAGGTTGCAAATGGAGACTGGCCCGACCAGAGAACACCTGCCCGGCTCACTGAACAGCGGCAGAGGCCGAGCCGAACTTGGATTGGATTTGATTTGTGCACCTATCGTGATCTTATGCAGATTTCAAAGTACAGCCTCCGAAACTTGTGCAGCATCCGTGAGCTTAACTCCACGACGGTGACATTATGTATTTTTTTGTTGTGTAACTGTATCTGCACGCCGAGTCATCATTCTAATAATTATGACGCATTATTGGCATCGAATAGCTTATGACGTTTATAAAAAAAAGCTAATCGGTATTGACGCAACTTTTTCTCAAAGGAACTTCAAAAGTATGTACAAGACTCATCGTTGTACAAGACACACCTCCAAAAATTTTGGGGGAAAAAGCCTTATACACCAGAAAATGAGGCTGTTAGTCTAGCCACTCAACTTCAGAATAAATTTAAATTTGCCCGTTTTGGCGACAAGAAATTGGGCAGCGAGCGTACTGGGAAGCCGTTCAAGTAGGCTTTCCAGTACACTCTTTCAAATTTCTTCTTTTTTACTTCATATTTCACATGGCTTTTTGTAACAATATGTAACAACTGAACCCAGATTTTAAGAAAAAGGAAGCAAACCAATACAACTATAAATGAAACTGATTCGAACCTGTGTCTCTTGGGTGGGAAGTGGGCATTCTATCTCTGAGCGACGACATATTGCAGACTACAGACCGCAGCGCCGCGAGTGGATATACCTTGCTTGTGTTTCACTTTTCGAGGATATGTCGGGGCACACTTCTAGTACACTCTACCTTAGCTAAGGCAGTTATCACCAGAGTGCCCAGATGTAGGCTGATAGATGAAGGGATGGACGGTCGAGAGACGGAGAGAAATAGATCTATAGAAATATAGGTGCAGACGTTTAAGTGCCTGCAGTACATAAATGCTTCACATTTAAATCAAGATCGCTGTGCAGCTTTTGTAGGTTTATTAACTATATGAGCCCCTTGCTGCTGCACAGAAATTTTTCCTACTTTATACATACAAGATTTTAGAAAGACAATCTTATCACTATTGGATGTTGCACATACAAGCTTAAATGAGGTTTTTCATATTTTACACAATTCCTACTTAAACAAGGCATGAAAACTGCTTTGATGTAAATCCTAAAGTGACCTAGAACGAAATTTCAAAGCGCTATAAACTGACTTATTTTCAGGTTCTAAACATCTAATTGCTGCTTACTTGAAAATGGCTTTGATAAGCGTTTGCACTAAAATCTGCTTCATTCTTTGCAAAGTTGCCATAGTCATTTTTTGGCTTAACTTTTTAAAAATGCCCATCTATAATTGTCTTAGAGGCTTATTATTGCATTTCTTCTTTCTTACAGCTGTAGAGTGCTCGGCAGGTGACATTAGCAACATTGTGCCCATTGCAGTTGGGTCGGCACTGGCAGCTTTGGTCATCATTGTGCTCATCGCCTACCTCATTGGGCGAAGCAAGAGCCGACAGAAGGGATACCAGTCCGTCTAGAAGTTACGTTTCATATACCCTTCTCTTTGCTTGGTTTGCTTTCACTTTTTTTGCCTTGGACTGGAGATGTCTTTACTCTGCTCCTTCCCTGTCAATTGGTACGCAGGCGTTTTGTGCGCCAATCGGTGGTGCCCAGCATCCAGACAGGGTACTGTATCCTAGCCCACCTGCGGTATGCGGCGACACTTATTGGCTACATGTGTGCAGCTTCGCAATCAAACCATGTGGCAGTTTTCAAAATGTGCGGGTTTTCCCTCTAGTGTTGCAGACACTGTACATATGGGGAAGAAGCGCCATAACTGTTGGTTTCAATGTGTAGTTTGTTCATTTCCTAGGTTTTAACAGTAATAAGCTGAAAAGGAGAATGGAGGGGCAGGTCAGGAGAATACCCAATAAGGGATTGGGGTACCACAATTGATGGTACCCTCTTTGGCAGAAGTACTTTTCAAGTTTGAGCGTTTTTACTGAAAGTTAATAAACCACTTTCTACATACTTTGTTCTCTCAACGTGTCTTACTGCCTAGTGCGCAGCCACTAGTGCATTGGGCCAGTCTGAACTGTTATTGCAATAAGATGCAGTTGGAATGTGCCTTCTCTTAGAAACTCATCATTCACCTAGGTAAAAAGCAACCCTGTCTTTTTTCCCCCTTTGCTTGTATGCTCTTAAACAGGCGGGGCACCATTTTTTGAGTTAGTCACACAGCCACTGTGCTCGGTGTTTGTGTTAGGGGTGTTGCATGGTGGCCCCTGGCATTCTGTTACCTTGCGAGTTGTCTACAATACTGCGATCTTGGAAGTTTCTCTACTAGTAGCTGCGTGCTGGATAAACTTTGAAAGTTCCGAGGCAGCAACTCATTGTTGCATTTCGAGTTGCATCAAATTTTTAGGCCACTTTGTGTGAAACAAGCGTGGAGGAAGCACACATGGACGACTTTTGGACAACTGAGCTGTTGTCCAAGGTCAGTTTTCTGGCTGAACAAAATTTGTAGCATTAGTTGGCAGGGAGGGATGCTCTGCTTTAATGTGCGAGCTGGCTTTATTGAGGTCAGCTATTTATGCACGTGCTGTGCGCACACAGAACTTTCCTGCCAGCCACTGCAGCAGTGGCTTTTCCTTCAATACCTGCACAATGACTGCAAGATGAGTGTGTTAAGCTTGCTCAATTAAATTCTGCAAGCAGAAACGCGGGCATGAGGAACAAGCATAAATGGTATCCAGTGAACAGTGGCAACAAATTACAATGGGCTAGGTGCCACATCGGCGAGCTCTAAATGGACGAATACCTAGAAGAAACTCAAAGTAGTGCATAATGTACAGTCTTTCTTTACAACGAAGATGATTAACAACTTCACTACGAGGCATTTGGTGACCACAAGGACAAAGAAGTGCAAAGAAAGAGTGTCACACCGATTTTTTTTGCTGGAGAACTGCAGAAAACCTATGCACCGTACCACATACGGGCAAACAGCACTGTCAAACACAATCGCTAGACGTGATGACATTGGAAAAGCATATTTAGTCCAGCAAAAATAAGCAAAATCGTAACTCTGATGTGCCCAAGTCTATTAATTACACTTATACATAAGTTGCCTTTCTTTTTCATTCAAAATGCTCGCATTATTTCCCAGGGTAGAGAGCCCGAGCTTTTGGCAAGTACACCAACTGTTTTCATGATAAAGGTTTTAAAGAGCTTCTGTTCTTGCCAAAAACTCGGATGCTCTGGTCCTGGAAATGAAAGCATTGCGGATGAAAAATCAAGGAAACTTGTCTATAAGAGACATCAGCAATTTTGTCCACGAGAGTTTCCATTTCGCTCTTCGTTCATGGACTAGACGTGCCTTTCTAATGACCCAGAGTTTTGATGTGTAGTGATCACTAGAGGCACTCTTAAAGCACTTAAAAACTGAATTTTTGGTACCAAAAACAGGCAGGCAAAACAGTGCTATAGGCCTCCAAAATCTCAACTTTAGGCACAATAAACTTTGACAAATTTAAATTCAGTTTATGATGGTACGAAGGCACCATTGGATTAGAATAGGCATTCAATCTTTCCCGCATGGTTTGAAGAATACGGTCTTATTTTATGTTCTAGCATAATGAGTAAAGTGTCCGTCAAGTAAACACTCTTCTAAGTCTCTTTCCTTTCAACATGTCTGAGAAGGGCAACACAGGAGCAAATAGCCGGAGTGATAATAGGCCAGGAGGATCTTATAGCCTTGTGTAAATTTGGTCTAATCGCACAGGGTCAATTTCTTTTCTGCTTGTGAACACAAAGGGCTTTTCACCAGGTTTGAGCATTTTCAGCAGGCTAGAGAAATGCATGCACTGACCGTTTGCGATCTCATCTGCCAAGATTTTCAATATGTGGCCCAGAAAAAAGGCAATGTCGAACTGAACACCACTTGGCCTTCATCTCACGGGCGCGCATCCCAACATGGACAAAGTTGACGTATACAGCAAGGAATGATCCAGTGTACGTCAAAATATTATGTCGCAGTGTGAGAATTATTCCAGGCAACGTGTGTAGTTTGTGCAATCTGTAGTCTGAATGAAGGTGGACGTAGTTGAAGGTAGCCTGAATCTGTAGCCTGAATGAAGGTTGACGAAATATCGAAACGTGAACAGAATCTATGCGCATTACTTATTTAACTTCGTATCGAGCGAGATGCAGGACTAAGCTGCCTCCATTTCATTTGGGTTGGTGTTCTCGCTGTTCTTATAACGTGCTGGCGCCAGAATTCACAATGCTTGGTGCGTTTTTGGTGCATCGTTCCTTAGAGCAGTTCCAGCGGTGCAGCACTGTACATCACGTTAAGGATACATGATTTGTGCCAGCCTCTCCAAACGTGGGTGCATAGAGGGATCCGTCCCACAGAAACGGGCAGTGCAATATAGAGAACATCGAAACGACATACAGCTTTCATGCGCAACCTGGCTTGGGAGAATGCAAGGTTACATTCGCACGTGATGCGAATGATGTGTTAATTTGTCTGCGTATTGCAAGCTCCGATAGTTGCTCAGATAGTTGCTCCGATAGCAAAGAGGGCAGAAAAGGAATTTGGCTTTCAGTCTACTCTGGGCCAGTGGCAAAGGTTTCCAGCTCCTCTCCTCTCATCGCACTATTGCGGCCTGTAATGAGCCAGCTAAAAAAAACTTTTGATTGGACACACAACTTCCATTTTCCATGTAAAATTTCCAATGTCTAAGTAAAATGCACATGTGTAGGCTAATCAACCATCCTATTAGTTAAGAGGCCATGTAGCCTTTAACATGCTGAAAGGAACTTATGAAATGGGTGTATAGGTTGCACGCCATAGTTCCAAAAACATCAATTTTGCCCGGTAACATACATTCCTTCAACTGTACTCGAAAGCAAAATTTGAGGTTAAATAGTGCTTACATAGGCACAGATTTCGGAAATCAGCATTTATAAGCACTTCTAGGAACTTGGGCACAAACGTTCGCAATAGGCATTATAAGGACACTAGAAAAGTTCTTCTTAACCTCTAATTGATTCTCGTATAACAAAGTAGCACGATAGGAACGCAAGAACGGAATAGACATTTGCTTATAATCCGGTCTCTAGTGGTCACGTGAGGCAGTGCTGTTTGTACATGTGTGGTGCGGCATACGTACACTTTCTGCTGTTCTGCAAGTAAATCAGCTGGGGTTGTGATGCTTTATTTGTGCTTTCTTTTTCCTGGAGTCCTTGGGTATTTGAAATTTTCCCTCATTTTTGTTGTACAGACTAGCCCAGCAACAAGTACTTAAAACTTTACTCTTGGTTGTGCCTCGAGACCACTGGTGATGCATTTATGGGGCTCCAAGAACTTGTAGATGTTTAATCACTCGTGCGTCGCAAAGTGTCCCATGAACCATATAGCCATTCATGTCGGCACGGTCTACACTAAGGTAGAGCAAGCATCGTTTGTGAAGCAGTCCTCGCATTGTGCAGAGGAGTCATCGAAACCACATTTTGAGACTCTGTGCCCTCTGTACTGGGGGTGAGACATGAACTTAGCGTCGTCGCTGAGCTGCATCTTTCACTGCATGCAGTAATACAGTGGAGCGAAAAGGGCGTGGTTACATCGTCACCATGCAGCATTGAGCTGCTGTCTTGGCACGTTAAGTTCATGCAGCACACAGTAGTGAAGGAAACACCACACTGTTGTAAATGCAACACGCGATGACATGGAAGGTCAGGGGAACAGCACACACTGCAAATGCAGTGGCAAGCATGAGTTGTCTGCTGCGTAACCTCAAAAATGACCTCTAGCTTTTGCACAATAAAGGGACACTGAATAAAGTTTTTTCGTATTAGTGAAGTAAAATAGCACAATTCTTAAAACTCCACTTACAGGGAGACTACTTTTAATGAGCAATCGCGCAAAAAGAAAAGGCAAATGGGGATGCCACCTCAAGATTCCCGCACCAAACGCAGTCATCGTAGATTTTGACAGTGTACTAGGTCTGTCATTCCTAATAAAGTTGAAGTGCATTTTGTGGAAGCCATAGACTTAATGTGCAAAGTTTCAGAAAATTTCTTCAGTGAAGCAACGTCGGAAGAGCAAACCAGTCGAGAGTGGATGAATGGAGAGGTGATAGTCTCTTCTCTTCCCATACTTCGAGCTTTTCTAAGCAATGTTTCCGGGCTTCCATGTCAGCGGATGATATATAAAATGTATGTGAAGGGTCTGAAGGGCAGTCTGTCAGTGTTCAGATTTGTCAGGCCTGGTTCACTTTTTTGTGTGAAAAGTCAAAATCTTGTTAATGCCATTCCACAATCTTTACAGCTTGTGCAGGCTGCGTAAGTAGCTTCCTCAGGGTAAGCACTGTTAAGTTTGCTCTAAACACCGGCACTGTTAGTATGCATGAGCTGAGGTGTGTGCCAAGGTGTCAGTGCATCATTTTGCTGCGGAACAACCCCTGCTGACGTGTTCTCTCAGTGTGGTCAGCGTGTCAGCAAAATGGCGGAGAACTTTTTTTTTTTTTTCAATAAACCTACCTGTATTCGGCACCTGTCACCAGCAAACACTCTGCCTACTTGGCAAATGCACCCCATTTGATTTGCCTGCCGCCTGAAGTTATTAACTGGACCTGAAAAACTTTAGTGCTCTAAATGATGTGGAAATGTGTTAGATTAAAACAACTTGAATTCTAAACTACATTTCAGTTTCACTGTCTGTGACAGGTGCTAACGCTGGTGTTTGGCGAGGACTGTCAACATATTCTGGCTGAAGAGTCTATTCCCTCCACATATATGTATTATTTGAGGTGGGCTTTGAACAATAGGCGATAAAATGCAAAGAGAGTCTGCACTGAAATAATGACAAAGCAAGTCAAAGAACTGCTGTTCAAAAGGAAGGGCAAACTGACAAAGTGCTTTATAAAAAGATCCCCAACCTGTGGGTTTACAGGGTTAGCAAGGTATAAAAATTGACTTGGTAGGGCACATAACGATAAAGTTGGTGTGAAGTAACGCTCGGGACGTGAAT